AATCACCTCGCAGTCCATAGTTGTCCATAGCTTTCGGATGGAAGGCCACGATGATGAATGAATTATATCTCGTCTACATAAGCGCCAAACGGTGCACTTATTTCCAAGAAAGAAAATGCAAGGACTGAGAGTAGGGGAAATATGAGTTTCCTTAAGACGACTTAGGAAACAGGCTTGAGACTCCTTTAGAGAAAGGGGAAAGTGACAAACGGCTTAGGGTAGGGTTGTGAGAGTAAGACTAGGGATTAGACCTGGGATGACGATCCCAGAGCTCACTACGCATGTCTAAGGGCTTGACCCTTGGATATCAATATGTGGAAAATCGAGTGGGGGTGTTGAATCTTTGTTGACCTATGTGTGTGCAGGTCCCTGTTTATCTACTGCATTTCAAGGAAGAGGTTCTACAGAAAGGACCCAAATTTTTGTTATCTCTCGATAATAGGTCGGTTGTTACCGATTCAACTTTTCCCCTTTTACTTGATACCCACCTCTTGTACACGAGGCCTGAGGTATAAAATGGACAAAAATGTGTGTTGTGTATGATCTCGGGTTGCTGCCAGTTATCTCATACCTAGTTTCGTCCACCTTTTTTTTTTCTTTCGCGATATCGTTTCATGTCCGTTATCTTTTCCCAAGTATATATATATATATATCCACACGGTTTTACATGGAGTTCGAAATCGCTTCGGAAAATCCCTTCGCCAATACATCCAAATCGTTTTTTTCCCCCACTATCGATCCCGAACGTCTGAACACATCCTCAACATATATATATATATATACACATATATATATACCACATGAATATGAAAGCGCAATACCGAAAAAAGAACATAGGATGAAATTGTTTTTTTTTTTCCTTCTGTAGTACTCCCCCCCTATTCACAACCTCTAGCGTACAAGGCCGCCCACGTGGATGTAGGTTGAGCGGCGGCTGCCCCCGCCCCCGTGTGTCATATCGACCCACTTGCATACAGCAAAAAGACGAAGAGGCAAAGAAAAGAGAGGAAGGGAACAACTAAGTGTAACAGAACAGGGGCCAACAAAACGAAGATGCAAATTTTTTTTTGTCTGAAAAAAAAACATCGGAAAAAGCTCCGATGCTAGTGTCACAACCACAACAAAACCAATTATCGGATGACGATTCCCACACACAAACAACGCCTCGTGCTCAAAAGGCCGAATAACATATATATATATATAATATATATATAATATATATATATAATATATATATATAATATATTATATATATATATATAGAGAGAGAGAGAGAGTAACAAATTCATGAGACCGGAGAAACGAAAAAAAATAAAAAAATCATAGTTTATGTTCTTCCACACAAGACTCCACCGGTTCAAATTATCTTGCGTACAAGGGCGCCCATGTGGAGTAGGGTTGAGCGGCGGCTGCCCCCAGCCTCGTGTGTCAGATCGGCTCGAAAAGCACAAACGATAAAAAATAAACTATGCTGCCGAACCCTACACATAGGAGGTCGGCGAAGCAGATGAACAAGAATAAGCGTGTCGATGGAGATGACACGAAGAACACACACACACACGAACACGAAAAATAAGTACAGGATGGAGAAGGTGGACGAAAGAAGCAGAAGAACAAGAACAATAACACGTAAAGGAAAAAAAAAAAAAAAAGACAAGCGTCGAAAAACGGGACGAAGCTACTAGGAACACGAAAAAGCGGCGATAATGACAAGAAGCACATGCGAGGACAAAGAAAAGGAATATAAACAAGAAGAAGAAGGCAGATGTACCAGAACCACAAGCAACTATGAAGAAGACGAAGAAGCGAGAAATACGAATCAGGTTAATGTTTCGTAGATGATAAAGCAAAGAAAGGGAAGAAGAACAAAACAGCCTCAAAGCGAGAAGCAGAAACGACGACGACGAAGAAGAAGAAGAAGAAAGAAAATTGAAAACTGAAAAGTGACTACGTGTTTCAAAACTCCTTCGCATGCACACTTGGCAGTCGCAAACGCGCAAGTCCCACATCACGACCAATATGAGAATAGAGGGTTGACGACCGATAACAATAATAATAATAATAATAATAATAATAATAATAATAATAATAATAATAATAATAATAATAATAATAATAATAATAAGAAGAAGAAGAAGAAGAAGAAGAAAAAGAAGAAGAAAAAAAAAAAAAACATAAGAAAAAGAAAAAAAATTCCCCGCGTAAAGGATGAACACACGGCGTAAAGGAAGTGACACGTGCACTGTACGAAGTAAAGAAACAAAGAACGGAAAAAAATAAATACATAATTAAAAAAAAAGGTTATTCAACATCTAACTGGGTGCGCAGCACACAAGAACGAAGGCACACGATCACGCACGCACACACACACGATCACACACGCACACGCAGACAACCACACTCTCACTTACACAAACATGCACCCACGTGGAGGAACACAAACGGGCGACAAAACTCGAAACGCGCGAGCACATGCGCACAGCAGAATCGGCACAAGGATGAGGCATCACACCGATGGACACACAACATGACTCGTGCGTGCAAGCACACACAGCCGGTGCAGGTGACTTCAAGCCGCCTGTACTGTGTCCCGCTTCGTGACAATCTTTTGCGCTTGGCAGATGACGTGCACGCAGGAGGTGCAGCGGATGGGGAAACTTAATAGAGGCGGCTATGTCACAACGCGAACGCATGCCGGCAGTGAGACTCAACACCACAAACGAACCCTAAACCAACAGGCACCACCACGCACGAAGGCGGTAACGCATCCCGCAACACCGCTATCTGCCCCTTGCGTATTACGATGGCGACAACAGCGTCGGGTTCCGTGTTGGAAGTGCTCGAGGGCTGGGTAAGACGGTGCTGGGAAAGAAGACAGGTAGCGCGGCGAGGCTCCGTTTGCGGTTCGTGGCGATGGCGGACTGCCGTGCATGATCCCGAACGGAGGAAATGTTACAAGGCGAACGGAACCCCTATGCGGAGGACTGGAGAATACGACGTTCGGAACGTGTTTTCACATTCTTGTATATTGACAGTACAGGGACAGCGGTAAAAATTGAGAAAAAAAAAACGTGCGCCCACTAAATTTTTCTTCTTGTTTTTTTTTTTTCCGCCTTGGGCCCTCGTTTCCCGCCAACGCCAGGATGTCCAATACTGGATAGGCGGCGCCCCGAACACTGGACCGGATTCACGTCACGACGATCGTTGATGGAATCCGCCGTCGTCCGCCGTCTGCGGAGTGGGGCCTTGCTTTACTTGCGACTGTGGTACATCGGTGAGTTACGGGCGGCTACCTGCCGAAAACCCCGCCCCTACTTTTCCCTCTGCACTCCCTCCACGCGTCCTAATTTCAGTCAGTTGGAACTTCTCGTATTTTCCCGCTTCCGTATTTTCGAGCCGTGCTGGCCTTTCCTCGAGCCCGCGCGTGTCTAACTGACTATACTTTACACCCCGCTTTCCACGGGTCTTACCGGGTACTATCATACACCTGTCCTCTGTATCGGCCGTCCGGATTAAATTAAATTAGATTAAATCCTACGCGTAGGTCCTTCTTCAGAAATTATGGGTAAGTCCTCCTAGGAATAATACACATCTTTAAAAATTCAACCCCCCATTCCATAATTCCTAAATCCCAGCAACCCCCCCAAAAAAATGATTTTTACTGGTAAGTCCCCCAGGAATTTCTCCTTGAGTCCATTATCCCCTAAGACAAAATTCCCTGGTACGGGCCATTATACGCCCAAGGGTTATTGCTATTACCTGCACCCACTATCGTACACCGGCCGTAATTCCTAGTCGCCTACTAAACTACCATCTGCCCCTTCCTCGCATACAGCGAGAGACCATGCTATCGAGGAGCACTTTCCACGGCTCCTCGTTAGCAATGGTGCCCCTGGCAAATTTTGCCAGGGAGGATGCAAAAAAAAACCGTAAAAACGTTTGATGTCCTACACTCTGGAGGGCAGACATCTGAATGGCGGGCAGAGTGAAATCGTGGGTCCCACCGCCAGGAACCGCGGCCTCAACCTTTCCGTTACGCCGTTCACCTACCGGTAGTCCGAAGCCTTTCACGAAAAAGTGGACTACTGGTACGTCTTAATTTTTAGATGTCGGGGGGAGTGGTGGTCCGCAGCTATTGACGAGGTTCAAGCCTGAGCACTGGGTTGGGGTGGGGGTTGTCATGGCCACGTGGAAAAGCGAGAGAGTGTAAGAAGAACCAACGGCCAGGTGGAAAAGCGAGGGAGTGTAAGAAGAATCAACGGTTTTGGTGGGAGGGTATGAGTGCGCGTGGATGCACTGCCACACATGCGACCCCCCCTGCAATGGGGACTTGACACGTGGCGCGAGGGAAGGAATGCTGACCCAAAACGTTGGCAGTTGTCGGTCCAGTAGCCACTCTGGTGCTCATTATCGTCCGTAGACATGATGGAGTGAAGATTCGGGCACGTGTCGCGGGAAATGATGCTCACGCAGCCACGTGTGGTTGAGTTTGCTTGTACATGAACCTGAGGCCGTAGAGAGAGAAAGAGGCTCTCACGAACTGCAGGGACAGGTATGGGGTGTGGGGATGTGTAAGCCGGGAGGAGGAACGACAGGGAAGGAGGGAGCATTGCTTCCACATGTCGCAGGGAATGAAGAGCATGGAGCCACGTGTCGCAAGGAATTAAGCCTGTGCTGCCACGTATCAGCGCAGGCAATGACGTGCATGCTGCCACCTGTCCACGTGTCGTTGGCTTTCCATGCACATCCAACGGAGGCTGCAGAGAGAGTACCTGTCGAGAACTGAGGGAAAGGTGTGGGTTGTGGAAGTGATGTCTAAGCAGGGAGGGAGGAGGAAAGGAGGAGGGAGCATCGCGTCCAGGTGGCGCTGGGAGTGATGCACATGCCGCCACGTGTCTCCTTGTTGGCTTTGCACGTGCAAGATGGCGGCCTCTTCTTCCGCTCGCAACGTCATCCTTCGTGGTTATCGAGGGGGCGTTGCCCTTCCCAAGCCGCTAGGGACACTGGGCCCATCCATAGAAGAGAAGGCAGGAACAGCAGCAGGAGCAGGAGGAGGAGGAGCACCAGGGTGTGGGTGTGTTTTATTGCCACCATCACGTGGATGCATGCACCACTTGTCCATGCTTTTTCCAGGATCTCGGTTGATTGCCACATGGTGGCCGCCACGCGGCAAAGAAACTCTGAGAGCCGGAGCATTAACCCGTCGTCGTTGTCCCCTTCTTCTCTCTCCCTTTCAAGGAGGAGGAGGAGGAGGGGGCTGCTCCCCTCGCCCTCGAGCTTATCAATTTCAAAATGCCACGTGGCAGGCCAGCCTCCTCGCGCGGGCATTGCGCCAGGTGTCACTCCCCTGTGACCCGTGTGATCATCATTTTGCACTATGTCGCCAAGTGAGGAGACATGCCATGTCCTCCCCGACAGATCGTTGCGCGAATGGCAAGGCGGAGGCGGAGGCGGCGGGGGGGCCGGCGGTTAAGAAGCGGGAGCGGGAGCGGGAGGGCGAGGGGGAGGTCTCGTTAGCCAGGCGATCAAGTCAACATCGGCGCGCTTATGACGTGTCCTTTCCATCAATCTCATTCTCGTCCTTATCTTCTTCTTCTTCTTCTTCTTCGTCGTCGTCGTCGAAGATAGGCTGCAATCTGATGACGTGGAAGACGGGCGGTGACCGCAGGAGAGGGGGCGGCGCAGGTAGTCCGCCGGGTGATCAAGCCAGAAATGACCGGAACGTAGGGTGCTGCCACGTCGCAACGCGCGGGTACAGTGGGACAAGTAGAGCGCGAGATGATGCACAGGGTGAGGCGGCGGGAGCGAGCTCGACGACCGCGGACTACCAGAGCAACGACCGGTCGACTGCCGTAGATAGGAGGGGCATGGATAAGGATGTGGATAAGGTCGGCGGACCACGTCGATTGAGGGAAGAGCTGACGTGGCGGCCTGTCGTGGACTCCCGCTCTCTTGCCATCGACGAATGCTGGGCGTCGTCCTACGTGTCACCCGATGGTATTGTACACCGGTTTGCCACCGTGGCCGCCTGCGATGGCTCTAAAGTCGGATGTACAGAGGTGAGCCCATCAATCAAGGGAGGGACGTTGAGTCGTTGTTTCGTTCCCCCCCCTCCTTCCCTTATTTTCGGTCCCTTTTTTCCCCTTTTTTGGGTCCCTGTTTTTCTTATTTTTAGTCCCTGTTTTTCTTATTTTTAGTCCCTTTTTTCTTTATTGTTTGTCACTTGTTGTCTTATTTTGTCCCTTTTTAAAATTTTTGTACCTATGTTCTGTTTGTTTTTTTTTTTGTCCTTCTTTCTTAGTTTTTGTCCTTCTTTCTTAGTTTTTGTCCCAGTTTCTTTTTTGCGGCTCCCTATTTTTAGAATGAAATACAAGGAAAGGGTACGTGCGAAATTCGTTGCTCAACAAAAGAACCGAGGCTCAGGGTCGGGCAGCGACCTCCTTATGTCTTCTACCGCCCGCTAGCATCATGATCGTATTTGAACCGGAAATGGGTTTGTATACGTTTATGATGACGGGGGGCGTTATATTCCGGGGAAGAAGATGCACCCTTTCAAGCATGCCCCCATTGTTGGTTGTCAGCCGTCAAGCTGAATGTATAGAACACATAGACAATATATATATATCGTCAAACAGGTATGGACTGTCTTTTTGTTATTTTTAATTCATCCTCATCTGGACGGTTGACAATCAAATTTTTTGGGGGTTCAAACTTTCTTCTTTTTCCCCCTCATATACATATTTTTAACAGTCGAGCTCATGACCTGCTTACTGACAGTTACACCGGGCCAGAGAGAGAGAGAGAGAGAGAGAGAGAGAGAGAGAGAGAGAGAGAGAGAGAGAGAGAGAGAGAGAGAAGAAGAAGAAGAAGAAGAAGAAGAAGAAGATGGGGAAGATGGCGAAGATGTTATCTGACTTGTGTGTTGAATGTGGCGTAAGTTGTCATTCGGGTGGTATGTCTAAGGTTCGTCATTCTGGTGAAATGAACCAACTGAATTGATCAAAGCGATTACATGGATAAAAAATGGATCAAATGGATCAAATGGATCAAATGGATGAATGGGTGAATCTACCAATTTGTCAACGTCAGTCCACGGATCGATGGAAGCTTTGCTTGCAATTAGAAAGTCCCGACACACTTTTGGTTGCCTATCTGCCATTGCCGGTTTCAAGCGAACCTGAGGGAAGATAGACATTCGTAGTTTAAGGGTTCTGCGCCGGGTTTGGATGGGTCCACAGCAATAGTGACACGTGGCCATCTCAACCGTCACTGTGTGTGCGTGTGTGCGTGTGTGTGTGTGTGTGTGTGTGTGTGTGTGTGTGGAGAGAGAGAGAGAGAGAGAG